CCTTTCCTTTCCTTTCCTTTCCTTTCCTTTCCTTTCCTTTCCTTTCCTTTCCTTTCCTTTCCTTTCCTTTCCTTTCCTTCTTTTAACAAATGATAAGTTAAAATCAAAGGTAATAATTAGTTTAAAACAGCCTTCAGAGGCAGTCCCAGAAAAAAAAAAAGACCTTTTGAGCTACAACTGAACTAACCAATTTTATTGCGACTTGAGGTCAAGGCTCCTATTTCATACAACTTGAGGGTCTTTAGGTGCATGCTACCCTGCAGTAAACCACACAGAAAGTTATGATCAAGTAGACTTTGCACTTGAGACATCTATTGAGGAATAGCAACAAGATTCAATTCAATCTGAGCCAAAAGTAATCCAGAACCAGCCTCAGGAATGCAGTGGAAAATTCCTAAAAGATCAGAGATGAGATTAAAATACAACAAAAAATATAACCAAAAGACTGGCTAATGCAAAGCGAAAGCATTGGACTGATTTTGAGTGGGCTGGACTCTACAATTACAACTTTGTCACCACAGTTTGAAATCTATTAAAGGGATTTATGTTTTGCAGCTGACATTTAAAATTAAGGATTTATTGGACTGGGAATGAATATTTCTTCTGCAATTAGCTTTTTGGAGGTCACATTTCATAAACTGTTATTTTTCCATTTAATCTACTGTAGCAAGATTTTGTACTGTTAGAACATTTGAAATATATAAATATAGAAATCATTTTATTCATTGTAAAGAGACTGCTATTATAAAATTGCTGTTGAGTTGCATCACGTAACATTTTCACTAGGTACCTAATATCTCCCACTTGTATACGCTATTAGGCTGGAGCAAGCAAAAGTGAGCGGCATCTGATACTATATAACTCTTGCACCAGTAACAAAGGGAGACATTTAATATAAGATTGTTTTTTTTTTCTTCTCTTATTCAGGAACTTTTTAAATATTCTTTTTGAAAATTTATACATGCATCTCTGTGTGTTGCTAGAAGACTATGAAAGGCTGCATGCTTTTCCATTCTTGTGCATTTACAGAAATGAATTAAGCTTCACTGCAGCTGATTTTTTGAATTCTTGAACTGAAATTAATTACTGGGAAGAGGAAGGGTATTTTTCAAATTAGGACAGTAATTAATTTAAGACAGTTGTTTTCCTTTACTATTCTAACCCAGACTTCTCAAAAACAAAGAAATAAAAAGGATCATATAATCATATTTACACAATTCCCGCTTAGCTGTCTTCTGTGTTGGAGCATTCATACGCAGAAGCAGGAAAGAAAATCAGGATATATAAATTAGAAGCTGGAGTACGATTTCTTAAAGGATGGCTCTACGGTTGAGGAGCAGACCCACAGAAATCAGATGCCACTAGATGCCTGGAAACCTCAGGTGGTTATTTGTGCAGGTCTAACTGTGAAATGTGGTAGACCTCATGTTACAGGTCATCTTTGCAAAGGCATTACGCCTCCTGTTCAACTGTAACTTCATTTTGTCCAGTTCCAACTTAAACTGTTGCATTCTTCTGCCACAGACAGGGTGAGAAATGATAGCTGAAGCAGCCTAAACATATTTGAAGAAATCAGCATATGGTCTCTGCTCCAGCCTGGTTTTCACGTGTGACACAGCAACGGAGATAAAGGGGGGTTATTGATGAGTCTGGTCTGAGACAGTGTGACACAGCCTTGTTTCTGTTGCATCTGTGTGCTTCCTGAAACAAGGTAACTTCAGCGAAAGAGTAATTCTCAACGCTGAACATCAACCAGCAAAAAAATCCAATAAAATAAAGGGTGCAAGAGCTTAGTTGTTTTGTGGCTCTCTGTGATGGGGAGGGGCACGGGGGGAGAGAACGGAGAGGAAGAAAGAAGACAATATAAATGTGTTTCCATTGGCCAAAGCAAGGGGGGAAGCCAGTATTTGGGAAAAAAAAGAGTTGTTAGAGGTGTAGGCATAACACAGACTGGTCTGCAGAAAAGTAGGGAGAAGCTCGAGGGTGACCACCGAGTGCTAAAAACTTTAGAAATGCAGGCTGCTTTCCTGGTCTGCTCAAGAAGTCTGTTTTCATTCATGCAGAAGCATAGGTGTAGATTTTATCAGGACTTTGGGCTGGAGCACCCGCAGCTGTGGATTACAGATGCTTCCTGTCATGTATAAACACAATCATTATGTGAAAGCATGGCACCCGTACGGCTACCTAAACAGCCATTCCTCCGGACTGAAGCGCTTTGTTCTCTTTGGAGTTATTTTTATGACTATGAGCAGGACTCTACCCAAAAGTTACTAGCAGCAGCCGTGGGTTTTTATGTCAATTAAATGGATTTTGTTACTTGTAAAATACATGTCCAAACACAACTCCATTCTTCAATCACAAAGTATGTTTTCTTAACACAGGGTGATATATAGTGACACTTGTTTGACTGACAGCATGAACGTAAACCATAGTAAATACCACCTGTAACTTTGAAATTCGTGAAGCTCAGTTAATAAAAATAAGAACATCAGGGAAAAAA